TTTAAATTTGGGAAGCAGAACTGCTGCTATAATTGGATCTTCCCATTCCAAATTTAAAATTTTATCAAAACGAGTATTTAAACTTTTTATGCACATTTTTGCTAAATGTTCTTCTTCATATTTCAATTTATTTTGGGTTTGGGCAATGAGTTTTTCATACTTGTTAATTAAAGAAATTAGAATGGGCAACAAGTATCCAAAAGATACACTGTCTTCACCTTGTAACAAATCTAACGTTAATAACTCACGAATATTTCATTTTCAAGTATACAGAGTTATTAAAAAATGGATACAAAACATTTTCACAAATGAAATGAATTTTATCAGGTTTCTTGATAAGGAATGTATAATTGATATGGGAATTATGAAATGGCCACGCACATACGACATAGATTCTGATTCAACGAGATTGATTGGTACTTGGTATCTTTTAGTGAGGTAAGGCGGTAAAAGATTTTACCGCCATACCTCACCCCGTTTTCGAGGATACTGAACTTCGAGTTTGGGTGTCCCAATCCCGTGAACGGAAGAAAACAAGCCCCAAGTGGGGTCTACTGCACATTTTTGATATATGAGGCACTCTAATAACTTATTTTTCGAGGTGGCAAAGTGCTAAAATTGTATTTCACCGTTTTCGAAGATGCCCGACAAAATACAACAAGATACGCCTGCATGAAATGGGGCTGTTTGGTCTGGTTCTCATTCATCGAATAATTTAAAAGTATCCGAAGATCGAAAAAAGTATTCGGTTGTTGGATACTTACAAATTTGGCCACGGATACGGATAATGAATACAAAATTTAAAAAATATTCGGATACCCAACTCTGGTCTCAGTTCATAGTTGTCTAAACAGTATGTATTCGCGTTTTTTCATCAACATCCGTCGATTTATATCTCTCGAATACACCATCAACGCTGGCGTTCTCCAGGGATCAATATTGTCCCCAACCCTCTTTTTATTGTATATCAACGACTTATTGAACACCAATATGTCTTGGAACAATCATGTCGCTGGAATTACAAAGGCTGCTTCTCAAAAGCTTGGAACACGGTTCCGAACCAGAAAACTGCATACACCTCAGCAACTTTTGATGCTTTATAAAGCTCTGATCAGACCTTCTTTGGAGCATTATTCTCACGTATGGATCTTCGCCCTAAGCATACTCTGGATCTGCTGGATTCCATCCAGAAAAGAGCCATCCGCCTGATTGGGAACGCAAATATCACTTGCAACCTTGATAGTTGAGGTGATATGGTTGAGCTGGTGAAAGAATGTTGTATACACCTCTTTGCTGACGACGCTGTTATTTATTACACTGGGAATAATCATTCAACATGCTTCAATGCAATCAACGAAAGTTTAGAAGCCATTCAAAATTATTGCTGTGGAAACTTATTGAAAATAAATACAAACAAAACAAAATGGATGTTAATCAGTAGAGATAAAATGTATAGGGAAGTAATGAAAACAGAGCCAAAACTTTCAATCGATGGTGTCCAGATAGAAATGGTTGAGACATTTAAATATTTAGGGGTTTACACCTATATGTATAATTTATTAATCTTTGACTAAATAAAGGATTTATATATATATAGTCTGGAACATCGAAGAAAGATTGGGGGATTTGTCTCTCTTCTATGATACTTTCATTGGAAGTGTTCAAGTGACTTGGCACATTCTACCAAGAGCGGTACATATCAGAAATACGCGACGGACTGTGGCTGCTCATCGTTTTGAGGTTTAACTCAGTACACCTGCAACTTCACTGTTCGAAAACTCTTTCATTTGGAGAACTGAGTTTATATAGAATAAACTTACTGAGAATGCTTGTGTTTTGTCTTTAAAAAAAAACGTGAATGTACAACTTGCTTATAATTTGTTGTCGACTAAGTTTTTTTACAGTTGCAGGTCGTAGTTATCTCCATAATGGTGTTCTGTATCGACTCTGCCACAAGGGAACCCCAGAATCTCATCAAGTTCTGCATGAACCTCGAGTGCAACTTTCCACTGAGATTTGAACAGAACAAAAAAATCCAGATAGCCATCGACAAATTGAAGGCCTTATCTCCAAACTTCAGCGCTGCAGATTTCTTTCAGATAACCCGCTCGACACTCCTTTCCATGATAAGTGTCATTACTACGTATTTCATAGTAATGGTCCAACTTCATATGGGTAACTGAAAATTGAAGAGTTTGAAACATTGATTGCACCATACATTACGTGTACTTGTTACAATGATTAGTCGTACTATGCAAATGCTTCATCCACCTCAACTGACATTATAATTATCACTAATATATAGAGTGCTCAATAAATGTGTTACAGACCAAACTTGAGTTTTTTTCAAATGGAATACTCCAGATATTTTCACCCTATTGAATTTCTTGGATAGAGTGCTTCTCAAAAATATACTGTTGTTTGGGTTTACACCAGGTGGTTCAGAAATTATGATAAAATGTATGTAAATAAATGGGTTTATTCAAAACCGAGTATCTCCTATTCCATCAAATGGAATGAGGAAAATGTTCAACCTAATATCCCAGAGAATAGTGTATTTTCATTTTGTCTTCATAAGTTTATCAAACGGCTCTTTTTCTATACAGGGGTGAACAAATCTCGGGATCACTTATTTCTCATCAATTGAATCTATTTACAATTTCTCTGAACTTCAATTATTATTCATCTTGTAATAGAGCAAACAACTTCTTTGAATCAATCTAATTTCCTTCTAATTTTGTTGATTTCTCCTTCAACAAGATAACGGAAATCTAAGGAAATTCTTGGGGACATTATTCCTCCTGCAGAAATGTATTGGTTTGCGATTCTAAACAATTCACACAATCATCGATAATTTTTATTGTCTTTTTCCCACAATTTGTTTACTCATTGTGCTCTACATCACTCTGTTTCCTGAAACAAAATATCGTTTCTAGAGGAGGGAAACGCAGAATTCGTCAGCACATGCCCTACATAGTAGCCTGCTAGAGGTACAAATCGAACTGTCTGACTTGAACAAATTATTCATATTTACAAACAAAGATAATAGGAAGATACTGAAAATTGAATTGCTGTCTTACTGTAAAAAAGTTGAGATACTCCGAAATACCCATAAACTGAAGAACAAAAACATTTTTCTAGCTAGCAACTTGAGCCCTGCTCGTCCATAGATCTCTGAGGAAACATCTCAATACCGCCAATGAAATCGGAATAAAAGCGACTATAGGGAATAATCAACTGGTCATCGATAGAAGCACCTATTCTTTACTAGACTTGCGTAGCGAAAATCACTCATTGGATAGAGACGAAGCAGACATTTTCCAAACGAAATCTCTGACATAGAGTCCATTCCGCTCGGACTAATTCCACTAAACAAGATAAATAAGCGGTTGATTTTGTTTTCGGTCGCCTTTTTACTAACACTTGTATCGATTTATTCATTTCATTTTATTTTTCCACTCGAGATCCCTGTTCACTGATGTTACTGAGAGGTGGCTAAATATATCCTGAAGCTCGGGCGCAGTTAAAATCAACTCCTATCAGTTAGTAAGTGCCGATAGAGATGGTCGAGGTGGAGGAGTTGCCTTTTTCATCAGTAATATTAGCTCGCATTTCGAGCAGCTATGGATCTCCCCTTTGGATTTTTGTGACCTGAGGCCTATCACCGTCCTACCTTGTCTTTCGAAACTTGTTGAGATGATCATGAAGAACCAAATTTGCATCTTCATAAGTGCCTCTGGTTATAAATTACTAATCGAACCGAACTCAGAGAGTTATGGTGGCCGGTACCAGCTCAGAGACTCTGCCCGTAACTAAAGGTGTTTCTCAAAGATCCATCTTTGATCCCTTACTATTCAGCTTGTATATGATTCTCAACTGTACTTCTCTCTTCAGTTCTCTGACATTGAATCCGCTCAAAACCTCATCAATCGTGATCTACATCTTTGATATTTCATCTGCTCATAAATTGAAGTTAAACTCCAAAAAACGTTGGCAGTAATGATCTTTGGATCCATCCCTAATCAGTAACTGAAAATACTTCTTCCAAAATATTTTTTATGTCTCTTTTAACCACTGAAAATCAGATCAAGCACTACAGCATTCAAAGTCGGTGACTGATTACATTTCCGCAAGCTTTCTTTCATTGTGACCCAAACCATTTCAATTGGATTGAACACACAGTAGTATGAAGGCAAACGTAAGAGGATATGACCTCGTGTTCCACACATCGAATCAATAATATATTCTTTTTTAAAATTACTTTGTTTCATGGTTGCCAGTAATACCTTTTTTGTTGGAATCTTTTCGAGTATTTCCATGTCATGATTTCGCATGAAATCAACATTGTCATTGTCCATAACAATAATCGAGTTTGGAGGAATATTTGGTGCTGGTGCTGCTCACTGAACCAGGTTTCGAATAAAGCCGCAGTCATATCTTCGTGGTAATCAGCAGACGAATCTTTTATATTTTTGGCCGACAGAAGCAAAGCGTTAGGTACGAAACCACTTTCATTCCCGGCATGCAAAATTATAACACCTTGAAGAAGGTGTGTTCAAAGCACAATACTTGGTTTCGTCTACCCAGCCATATTTGACATCATGGGTGTCAAACCAAGTTTCGTAGAGGTAGATTATATGTCGGCTTGATTCTCAGTAGCTTTTCATTCGCCTGAAATATTCTTGTCGAATTGAATAATGCGTGTCGATTCCATTATGACCATCTGATTGTTCAATTTTTTATATTTGAAACCACAAGACAATAAGACACCTCGTAGAGTTTCTAAAGATTTGTAATTGTAATCGGGATAGTCGAGTAATTTATACCAAATCATTTCCAAGGTTGGTACTTCATTTTTTTGGTATATACCATAAATTGTTCGCCGAAGCACATCTTTTGTAGCACTATCAACGTTTGCGAATTTTTTATTCCTTTGTTTTCGATTCATTGCATGGTCAATGACATCCCCTATTTTAATGACTCGAAGAACTGTCGAACGAGATAGTTTCGTTAACTCGCATATTCTATTCACAATAGCATTCTGTGGAGTGTGACAGTTTTCCTTCTTTAAGCATTCATGAATATTTAAAATTACTTGCTGAACTTGAACATGTAAATCCTTATTTTCAAATTCCGGATCCCTGTCGATTGACACAGATTCCTCACACGTAATGTTATCATTTGTTTCAAAAGGTCTCAAGAAAGCCATATTGATGAAAGTACCCAAAAACACTAAGATTTTCACAAAAATCGGTTTAAACGATGAGATTGGAACCTTTGATGTAAAAGTTGAAATTTTTTTATCTAACTTATATAACTTTAGGTATATATACAACTAACCCTTGTCTTTAGATAAAGTATCAATTTGCTTCTCCTGAAGATGCTAACCTTGTTAGCGAAACGCGTGTCGAGTGCAAAAATATCAGTTTGGTGTTAGGGTAATTGCTCCCTAGAAAAAGTTTTCAAAAATCGTTTTGCAAAACCACTCACTACCTCACCTAACCCCACGAACATACGGCACTGATAAAGAAATATTGTGAAACGGACAAAAAATTAGTATTCAGCCAGTCCAGCTAGCCGAGTCTTTATTCCTCAACTACATTCGATAGCGTTTACTAACTATCTGGGCGACTAGGGGTCATAGGCAAGAAATGTTTATGACTGTGCTCTTATTTTTATTGCCGTTCCAATTGGGAATGGATATACTATACAAGTGAAAATATTTTCAAACAGAATTTAATTATAAATTATCAATATTGTAATAGATTTATGGATAATTTCCAACTCATGATTCAATTTCCTTTAATTTTCCTAAGAGCAAAATCAATATATTATTGCCAAGTCATGAAAAACCAATCATCATTTGTTATACATAATGACGCACCAGTGGATGGAAATTGAATTGAACAAAAGCATGCCTCATAGCAGTCTTGACAAAGATGAGATTAACATATAGTAGAAAAAGTATATTGTGTCTTGAGCCGATGGTAAAATTAGCAGCGTTATTTTGTGTCCTTCCAAACTACAACTTCAAACTTCAAGTACTGTCTCGAATGAAAACCAACATGATTTTCAGACTACTGTTGACAGCAACTATTTTCTCTGGTGCAGTTTATACATTACAAGCTATTTATCTCAATACAGAAAGGATATATCTTAATAAAGTATCAATTATGACTGTTTTACAAATTGCGACCTACTTCATTGGAGTTGTACTATTCGTAATATCGGCGTTGGGATCTTTCTCGGCGAAAGCAAATAATTGGAAAGAACTGCTTTCGAATTTCCAAAAGTTAGAAACTGTCGAAAATCTGAATACGAAGAAAATGACTAACATGTCTATATTGGGCAATGGAAACTTTTCATTTGCAATATGCAGTATTATATTCGTAATTTTAATCAACCTGATATTCCAGGTTGACAGTCATGATTTTGTAACGAATTTACGGTACTTTGGAGTCGGTTCCTTTCTAATTTATACAGAGTTACTCCAAGCGAATATCCTCTCTAACCTGTTCATCTGCATCAAACATAAATATATAGATATAAACGATCTGTTGATGAGAACAGATACCAACGTTTCCAACATAATGGGAAGAATTCGCAAAGTAGAGAAGTTGTATCTGATGATGGACCGAATAATAGAGCTGGTGAATAGGTTGTTCGGTTGGATTTTTTTAGTTATGATTTTCCACGTGAGTTTATTGGTGCTTTCAACTCTAACTGCATCCGTGGCCTTTAGTATTAAACCAAGAAGATCCAGGTCGAATATAGCAGATATCGTATACAGATCATTCTCATTTGTGAGTATATAATTATTACTAGCGAACCGACCCGGCTCTGCGCGTGGCAATGCCGACACTAAATTTTATCTATATTAAATTCACAATGTATTTAAGGTACTTAATTGGACAAGGAATAATGCTGTATTGTTCAAAATCGTTTCGTAAATAAGCCATTATTTCTCGAGGATAAAAATGGTTATTTTGGGTTTTCTCTGTCACATGGAATGGTATATATTCTGGACTTTTTTGTAGACCTTTTTAAGTTTTTTTTTCGACGAGTGGAAAAATCTTCGAAAGACACCTGGTCGCCCTCTGATTAGATAGTGTCGGATTTTTACCGACTAAAAAACCACTCATGAGTCAAGCAGGCTACTCTGGAACCGCCCTCGGCCCTCGGGCATTACTTCGGAATAGCAGACTGTAGTGATGGATCAGAGCTCTTCCTTTTTCTTCAGTACTTCATTATTATTCATCTAGTTATTTTTTTTTTTTCGTCAGGATCTTGGACAGTTTA